CCCCCCCCCCCCCCCCCCCCCCCGGTCTGAGCGACCGCAGCACAAGGCATCACTCATCTGCTCCTGAGAGCCGCGATTGACTTCAGTTTGACTCTGAGAGGGGGCAGACGGGGTGGAGCCGGGCGCTCCACACAAAAATCGTTTGCCTGTTACTGTTACCGTGCAACTGCCAAAAAAAAAGTCAGGCATAATATTTACACTGGTTCTTTATTTTCCACACACACCTCCAGGAGAGCGAGAGCAAGTGGAGACGTGTGACGTCCACAGAAGTGGCTTTTTTTTCCCCTCAGGCTTGTTTGTAAAAACATCTTTGGGTTTGATCATTTTCCTAAACAGGTGAGGTTAATACAGAACGGCGGCCATGTTGTCGTCACTCACTCCCTCACCACTAATATGACCTCCTCCAGAGGAGCTTGGCTCCAGGTTTCTCCACTTGGAGACTCCTCCTGTCGTCTTATAAAGGTTTTCTCTTCCTTTGGTTCTCGGTCCCTCTCGGTGTCTGTCTGCCATCCTGCCACACCTGGTTTGAATTACTGAGCTAAATCTACTCGCTCGGCGAGGGGCTGCTGAGCGGTACAGTGGAACCAATTTCAGAGGTGCAAAAAAAAGTAATAATAATCCTGTCAGCCTTCACAGAGAGCAGAGATAGAGAAATACTTTCAGAAGCTCCAGTGAGAGCCGTCCCATCAACATAGCCTGTATGAGACCGTCCTTTACATGATGGATGTTAAAAATTAAACGCCAGCCCTGGAAGCTCGTGGACCCAGCTGTTTCCATCTCAGCTGTACCTTTATTCACTTCCATGTCAGGGTTTCTACATCATGGCAGAAAGATTTTCAACAGTTGTCTCTGCTCTGCATCAAAACGAGCTAAAGTAATGTCAAGTTAAAAATCATTTAAATGTGTTTAAAATGTTTGCAGCTCTGAATTTCTTTGTAAATAACATTCTTTAATTTTACTGACCAGACTGCTTAAGATGATTTTGTTTAGTTATGAGTTTATAAAATCACCTAGATTAAGATGGATGGATGGATGGATGAACAAATGTATGTATGTATGGATGGATGATGGATGGAAAAATTGATGGATGGATGGATGGATGAACAAATGTATGGACGGATGGATGGATAAACACATGTATGGATGGATGGCTGGATAAACAAATGGATGGATGGATAGATGGAAAACTGGATGGATGGATGGATGGATGGATGGAAGAACGGATGAATGGAAAACTGTATGGATGAACGGATGGATGGATAGATGGAAAACTGGATGGATGGATGGATGAAGGAATGTATGTATGTATGTATGTATGAATGGATGGATGAATGAAGGAATGTATGTATGTATGGATGGATGGATAGATGGAAAATTGGATGGATGGATGAACGAATGTATGGATGAATGGATGGATGGATGAACAGATGGATGGATGAAGGAATGTATGTATGAATGAATTAATAAATGGGTGAATGGATGGATGGATGAACAAACAAAATGATGGATGGGTGGATGAATTAA